GAGAAGATGCATTTGTTTGAATTTTCATTTCTAGCAGAGAACTAAAGCAGCAAAAAATGCCACAAATATGATTAAGCATGGTGGTGAAGGTGAAATACAGTTTAGAAAAACAGGAATTTTACATAATCAGTTTAAAAAGTATGAGGAGGAGGTTCGTTGGAGTAATGAAAGCCTCCAAATGTGATATCAAAGAGGCTGCTAACTATCATACAAGCTGAGAGAACAAGCAGTCCTATGACCAGAATGATGAAAAGTACTCTGGGTTAAACTTGGAACAATCTGCAAACGTGTTTTTTGGAGCTATAAATATTACTTATAGTGTCTCTAAAAAATGTTATGGAAAAGTAACCTGATCAATATTTATGAACCTTGTGGAAGCTGCCGCTTATAAAAGTGATTAGTTATTCTAACTCCCATACTCTATTCATCATAATGACCTAAGCTCTGTGCTTTCGCTTCTTTCATACTGCGTACCACAGACTCCAACACTTATTTACAAAAAAAGAACGAATGAAACTCAAAAATGTACATGGAAATAGAAACGTACTGGAAATTTATTGGAAAAAAAAAATAAGATGTTAAAATCTTGACTGAAGAGCTACACACTATATATATATATATATATATATATATATATATCACTGTTGTTGGAAGAAAACCTTGTATCTCCAAAATGACAACTTTACAGGAGAAGGAAAAAACCTATTTTACTTTTAATGTGAGTGAATGGAACCAGACTTTTTTCCAAGTGATTGTGAGCTGTTTCTTTTAGTCCATTCTTCATGAAATTTACAAACAATTTAAAGGGCAACAGACATTTTCAAATTACCCCAAAAACTGAAAAATGACAAAAATGGAGATACAAGGTTTTCTTTCGACAGCAGCTATATACACAAATATATTCTATCGGTGTCAAAATTTGTGTACTGCTATGAAACAAGAGTGGGCAATATGAACTGAAATTTACATCACAATATTTTCTGGTAGAGATGCATTGATACGGGAAATGCGGAGCGAAGCTGATATCCGATATTTTTCATGTACCTTGCCTGCTCTTCTGGAGTACAATAACTACAGCATCAAATGTTAGTTTGAATTATCTGTCAAAACTGATCATCTGTCCGATGTTGATTTTTTTTTTAATCAACTGATCACCAGGGATGCAGGAAGGTGTTTTGCATTACGGGTATTGTAATTTTTAATAGCGTATACATGATGAACACCATGACGTCATGCTAAATACTATGTTTTTTATCCTCTTTATTTGTATTGTTTGAAGAGAGACAAGATTCTGCTGTACACATATAATTGACACAGCAACCACAGCTGATACACACCTTGCTGTCTCTGCTCTCTATTATAGGACAAACTTTATGCAAATGAATTGAAGTGAGCATCAATCTGTCAAGATCGTTGACGTGAGACAAATGACCATAGTCATAGTATATATGTGCACATTAGCAGGAGATTATTAGAATAGCTGAAAAAGGATGGGAGTAGGAGATCATTATGTTGGTTGAAAATGTTATGTTTTAAAACAATATTAGGCCACTTTCAGGCAGAATACTAGCCTACAACTTCCGCTTGTGTTCTAGCAACGCGCTCAAAGTAACATGTACAAGGTTTGCGGTAAAGCAACTCGCTTCACTTTGTGCAAATGCAGTGTTAACATACACAGTGCGTGACTACGGCAGATTTTGAACATATATAAAGAATAAAATAAAATGAAATAAAAACACAAACTCCACCCTACAGAAAGCACATTTTGGCCTTTTCTATGCTCAAAATATTTTCAGGTTCTGTTCTTTTGTTATTTTTTCGAAATCTGAAATCTGGGTGTGCTGCAGCAGGGGTGTTCACTGCTCTTCGCTAACGTGTAGTATAATATCACCACTGTTGGAACATAAGCCCTTCATATTATATGAAAATTTCATGATGAATCAACCGACAGAAATAATACAAAATTATATGGAATAAAATCTTGTAACATTAACTTACACTAAAAAATGAGGATGTTTTTTGCTACTGAAACAAAACAGTGGAAAAAACGCAGTAGGCTAATAGCTATTCTATGCCAACAGTGCAAATAATTGTGCAAATGTTTGTGTGATACACTTTTTCTTGAGCTTTGAGCTTATAAGAATGATTTAAGCCATTCAAGTTCATCCTAATTTTGTCTTGGGTCATATTTGCAATTATGGGGTAATTTGTGATTACTAGGTAATTTCTTCTCACTTATCATGGTATTCACAGTATGGTAAAATCTACACTTTAGGACAATGCCATACCGGCATTCACATTTATACCAGCACACTGCCCTGGTTTCTGCCCCTACATTGAATGCAAATACAGTAGAAACATAGCCTACTAAATGTGCTAACTACTGAAAATACACTTTGGAATTTAAAAAAAAAGTCAAAACCAAAAGAAAACATGTAGAGACTGTCCACATCTATAACAAAGAGCCAACAGAAAATGTGAAATTTTCTTGACAAACTAAGCTAACATCACACAAACATGATGATATGTAGCATCTAGCTAAAGCTGCCCATGATTGACAGGATAAATATTTCACAAAGCTTGTCAGTGATATCACAACATGGACTGGTGAGCTTAACCAGATAGAGCAAAGTCCTGAGGGCAAGATGCCTCTGTATTGATTTTTTCCCTCCTCTTTATTCTTCAACCTCGATTTTAGCTGTATCAATAATTGATGAGACAGCATCCCGCTTCGCTTTCTGAATTCCACTGAATTTCTGTCTCGTGTGTTGGTTTAATGATTAACGCCAATATAGTGGTGCAAATTCTACAATGATGCAAAAATACAAGTCACATTACAGGGCCTGTCTTGCATTTTTGATGCTACATGAAGTGCACATATAAGCCAAACAGCAAACAATCTGACTGCTGATTTGGATCATTTTCTTTAGCAGAAAGAACTTCAGCTTTAATCTTAAATGCAACACATACTGTGTTGACTTTTTGGAAAACAGAAAGATTTTTAAATTGTTTTCTGCACCTTAAAGTTCAACAACTGGGTTTCTTTCCACTGTGGGTTGGATCACATCATCAATGGACTACCATGTTTTTCTTGCACAGTTTGAAGTGTGAGCTGCTTATTTGAACCATCACCAAACCAAAACCATGGCAAAAGTGCCAATAATATCACTCGGATGATACCTAAAACTTTAAGTACAAGAATACAGTTATTTTGGGAAGCTAGATCTCTGACATAGCACTAAAATAACTGCACAACCTTCATCACATCAGAGCATAGGCCTTTACGTTGTATTGGTTAGAGATACAATGACACAGTATTACTTTTCTTTTCGGATTCCGATACGGACGCTGAAACCTTGAGTATCATCTGACACTGACACTAAAACGATATTACAATATTTTTTCTTTAAAAATTATTTAGTTTTTAAGACAGCTATTTTTCAGATATTCAAAAAATCCTGCTTTTCACTTTTTACAGTGTAGCTAGCTTCTCATTATTTTGTAGCCTGCTGTAAACATATGTGGTTAATCATGTGACCTACTTAGCTTTACCTTATTTTACACAAGCAATTCTGTGATATTTCAGACTAGATATGTTACATTATGAGGACAGATTTATCATTTTTCATCTCATTCGATCCATTATTTTCTACTGGAGTCGGCCTGGTACCAGTACTGGGTATCAGACCTGTGTAACCACTAGTAAGACTAGAAGTAAATAAAATGATCCATAACCCAATGCAGTTGCTAACTAAAGCTGGAGAGCTCGAGAAAAAAGGCTGCTAATGAAGTATCTGGCTCTGACATCAGCCTTTAATTTAATCTGTCTGGGCTTAAGCTAGAAGTCTAAGATCTAGGTACCTGTAGGCTATAGTTATAGTTAGACAGAACTCAGAGTAAGACGTTATTAAAACCCCTTCATTATCCATGCTAATTTCTAACTGAAAGAAAAAAACACATTTATTAGATTGACTGTTTTAAAGAGTCGACCGCTCCGGTTGGCAAGAGTGATAAACTTCCATACAAGCACGTCCTTTAATATTCAGAGTGAAGGACACTCAATTCAAAACAGCTGTAATCTGAAAACCACTAAGAGGTTTGTCATGTTTTCATCATCCTGAAGTGCTGCTGCAGAGTGCTGTACAGCAAACTCCACCAAAAAGGTCTGATAAAAGTAGCTAGTCAACCTTCAACACATTACTCACAGTAGATATATGAGCAAAACAAAATACTAAAGCAAAAACTGACTAAAATACTTCACCTCTTCAAGGACAGATCCTGAATGCTGTGTAAGTTCAAACAGCATTAACTGCTCTGTGATGTGGGGTCAGTCTAACTTAAAGTGGTACATATTTCATGTCAGTTCGTGTTGTATGCAAAATTGAAGAGCAGAAACTAGCCTGTGTTTATGCTAATCACGGTTTTGATATCAAGAACGGTTATTACATCGGACATCACATCAGCTTATGAGCACACAGGTCACAAAAAGGGAAAGCGTTTAACTTTTACGCTTTTAACTTTAAATAGGCCTACATAATGCATAACCACTTTAGCCAACGTGGTACGTAAATGATTCATAAACTGAGCTGACAAGAACACGCTATGTGCATTTCGACATTTCAGAGTAGAGGAAAAAACTCAGTAACTGCTTAATGAGTTTAAACGGAAAATTAAGACAAAACCTGGTAGAGAGTCCACAAAAATAGCTTTCACTCAAATTAAAGACAAGTTGAACATTAGTGCTCTGAATAACAGCAGAAGTTGACCGTTTCTACGATTAGCGTTAAAGCTCGCCGGTTGAGAACAGGTCTAACAAGCGCAGTCGCAGGTTTAACGTTAGCCTGCGCACAAACGGAGTCACCGCGGCCAACACCAACAGCTTATTTCCCCTCTGACAACAACTGAGAAGAGCACTCTCACGGCACCGAGAGCAGAGTAATTTCACTCAGCAGAGAGCTTTCCTGCTTCTGAATTCGCCAATTCAACAGAAAGTGACTCACTTCTGTGTCAGGTAACTCCAGGCGGAGCGTTAGGCGTTACATTCCGCGGTGGTGGTGTTGTACGGAGCCTCTCCACAAACTCTACAGATTCGCCCTCGCGCGCACAAACCGCTCACAAACCGCCAGACGCGGCGTGTTTATGTCCATCTGATGCTGGTCTTTTTCCGCCGGGCTTCTTCTCGCGCTTGGCACGAGTTCCCCAAGTTTTCCAGTCGTCACCAAGAAAAAGTAATTTTCGCCAGACCGCAGACAGCTTCAAGAACTCTGTCACACTTCCATCTCCATAGCGCCTGATGACCCGTCCGTCCGTCAGAGCTCCAGAGCCGTCAGGTGTGTCTGTATGGGCTGAGCCGTGTGTTGTAGCTGTAGCTCCACCGCTGCCACTCCTGCCACAGCCTCCCTCCCTCCTCAAATCCGGCAGTTAACCACATCCATGCCACTGTGAGGAGACGGAGGGAAAGTAACAATACCATGAGCCTCACACCCAGACTGAAGTCTCCTCAATTAGGTTAATCCCCAGCTAAGAGAACTGTTCGCTCAGTGAATCTTTCAGTGTAAAACCCATTAATTATAACCCACTGACGACTTCCCAGTAGGCCTGCTGCCTCAGATATTTTTATTAACTCTCAACATCTCCTATACATTTATTACATCTTCAGTTTGAGGTGATGTTTTAAATTCTTTTTATGGTGAGGTTCATGGTTAGGATATCACCCTAAGGTTGACGGTGCCTTCAGAATATCTTGACAGTCCATATAACAGCCCTAACACCATTCAATTGCCTGGGAAAATAGAGTTAATGGACTTCAGTAAGTTAAATCTAAATTGCACTACAGTGCATTAGATTCTAAATGAAACAATGACAATGAGGTTAAACTGCACAATGTCAGTTTTAAGTTGACAGGACTTAAATCTGTACTGGGTAAACCTTTAATCAATCACAGCCATTTTATACATAGCCTCCCACTTTTAAAAAATTGTTAAATTGACGTCATTTTAAATTAGAGTTTATATGTTGATATTGATGAGTGTTGATACTGAGCCAATTGAAGCAAAAAAAGTTTGGATCGGATCTTGGCAAGGAAAAACAAAGAAAGAATTCTTTTCCAATTCTGTAAAACGATCCAATTCTGTAACAAATCTGGCCTGAAATTGCACACACATTGTGTAATGTGATGTTGTTTGCGCGTATTTTTTTCTGTAGAGTAGTGGAGTGTTTGAGTAGTTTGAGCATGACAGCCTACTTTTAGATGTTCAGATATTTAGATCTTAAGTTAAATAGATAATTTTAAAGCTTACTAGTTTTTAAAGAAAAAACTGTTGGATTGGTATTGGCTGATACTCAAGGTTTCAATGTTGGTGGCAATGTCGGAAAAGAAAAAGGGGTATCTTGAGATCGCTGTCTTCAATAAAATGGTTATGTTAGGTACTTATGTTAGGTCCTTTGCAGTCAGCAACTGTCTGTTATCTGTAACCTATATACTATTCTCTTTGGTAACATTCTGCCAAGTCATAGATGCCGTAGCAGTATGTGTCACAACATTGTCTTGCAATTGAATCTGAGCAGTTAAGATGCTTTGGTTCACTTCCAAATCCATAACATTCAGTGTGTTTCACAGATAAAGTGCTTTGGGTCATGAGCAGTTCCTCTTTGTCTCCAGACTTTCCTCATTCCATCACACTGATACAGGTTAAGCTTCTCCCAAGGCCCTGCAGTCTTTTTTATGTCCTTTTCAGCAAGATGTAACTTGGCCTTTCTGTTAAACCCTCTGAGGTCATGCTGGTGTACTCTTCTCTTCAAGATGTGTCTGACACCTCTGCGCCTACATCCTCTTTTTTACATTCCACACATTTTCTTCATGACTGAAAATCTTCTTTTATCATTGTTACTGTGGTCCTTCATGGTTATCCTACGTTTGTTGGCTATTGTGAGTTTTTACTTCTTAACAGCATAACAAAACATTAATTTTGAGGCAAATCATGTTTTGACTATGTCTCTGATTGATTAATTCTGATTTTTCAGCCTCATTAAATTCTGCTTTACTGGAACTGGTAATGCTTTTGTCCGCATGTTGAGAGCAAACAGTAAACAGCAACTCTAGGATTTTTGCTGTCTCTTTTATGCATAAACTAATGATAGAATGACTCACAGCTGGTCAAGAAACAACTAAGCAGCAAACAGTCCTATTACTTATAGTCCCCATAAGTAAAGGGACTATGTATAAAATGGCTGAGATGCCTATAGAGAAGACAATACTATGGGTCTAAAAGGATGTGTAGCTGTTAAGAAGTTATTACTGAGAAAAGAAAATAGAGAGAAAAAGAAGAAGAAGCAAAGCAAAGAAGCTGCTGGAGTTCTCAGAATAATGGCCTGACCACTCCAGAGTCCAGACCTCAACATCATTGAATGTGTTTAGGATTACTCGGATCGTGAGCAGCAGAAAATGCAACCAACTTTTAAAACTGAACTTTGGAAGTAGTTTTCTGTTCAATATACAGTACTGTGTGAAAATTTTAGGCACCTGAGAAAATTATATTTAAATAGTTCTTTATCTGAGCAGTAAGAATTTCTGATCAGAAAACAATAATGTTAGAATATACACAAATAACAGTAATACAATAAGTAGTGATTTTGTGGACAGTGTTCGCTTAACCATTTCCAGACCTCCCCTCATAGAAGCCTGGTATTGTTTGTAGTTATCACTGTTTTGACTAATCAGTGCATCATTACATTAAATTAGGTGTGCTGCCAGTGGAATTGAAATGCCTGGACCCAAACCACTGTTTTTCTTACTTGCTCATGAGATATCAGCTACTTTTATGAAAACAAAAAAATTTTGTTACTTCTTCCTGCAATAATATTTACTTTTATTTATTGTTTTTTATTAGTTTACATATTCTAATGATCTATATGGTGCTTTAACAAGCCAAAACAGAACTGTATAGACAGATGGTCTTAAGCCAATTGATTACTTTTCCACAAACTGAAAATTAAACAAATGAAGGGTGGTCTTACTTTTGCACAGTTTTACTCTGCCCTCCACAAATATTGGCACCCCTGGTAATCATAAGCAAAATGAGCTGTAAAAAATATTCTTAATTACATATTCTTTTTTATCTTTCATTCAAAATATTAGCAAACATATAACCTTTACTTAAGTATGATGATTAAAAAGAAAAATTGAAAGAAAAGTCTAAATCTTGTCATGAGAAAAATTGCATTCTTAAATCTATGTGTGCCAAAATTATTGGCACCCATAGAAATTCTTAAGAGTGAAACCTAACTGAAGTATGTTCCCATTCATATCTTACATTTTTAAGTTCACCTGGGTGATTAGGAACAATTAAATGGCCAACCATGACTTCCTGAATGGCACAAACCAGGAAATGGCTACAAGAAAATAGCTAAACATTTCTGCTATGAGGTCAATAATTCAGAAGCTTAAAACAACTTGAGATGTTAAGAATCTGCCAGAAAGAGGACACATGGCTATACTGACCCCACGCACAGTGAGGAGGATGGTTCAAGTGGACAAAGAATCTCGAAGGGATTTGCAGACATTAGGTATTGGGGTCACAAGGTCTCCCAAACTACAATCAAACACCCCCTTTATAACCACAAGTTGTCTGGGGGTTGGCAGAAGAAAGCCTCTGCTGTCAAGGACCAACAAACTCAAGCGCCTAGGGTTTGCCAAATGTTACTGGAACTTTCAGTGGGACTGTGTTCTATGGTCAGATGAGACCACAATAGAGGTTTTTGGCAACAAAAACCAGAGGTGAGTTTGGCGTAGACACAAAGATAGCCGTGCAGAAAAGTACCCTCTCCCCAGTGTGAAGCATGTGGTTGATCTGTGATGTTGTGGGTCTGTTTTTCTTCCAAAAACCCTGGACAATTTACTTGGATTCCTGGTATCACAAACTCCATCAGAACTAACCAGCAGAAATAAAATCCAAACCTGACTGCCTCAGCCAGGAAGCTTAAACTGGGCCATAATCTGGATCTTCCAGCAGGACAATGATCCAAAGCACACCTCAAAATCAACACAAAAATCGTTCACTGACCACAGAATTAAGGTTTTGCTCAGTCCCCAGACCTAATTGAATATTATGGGCTTTCTGCTGTTGAAAGTCAGTAGAAAGCCAGCCCATAGAAACCTGTGGTATGAGCTGAAGAGGAGACTCAACAGTGTGGTCTTAGATCCTTTGCCATGTGTTCTCCAGTCTCATTAAGCATTACAGGAGATGACCCAGAGCTGTTACCTTTGCAGGTAGGCTGCACAAGTATTAAATAAAGGAGTGGCAATAATCATTGTACTTCAAAATATATATATATATATATATATATATATAATATATATATATATATATATACATATATATATATATATATATATATATATATATAGTATATATATTTACTATATATATATAGTAATGGTAAGTGCCTTATGAACATTAATGCAATAGATGTTCCAAATCTTTACTGCATATCAGAAGGGTGCTTCACCCGTCTGTTTGTGTTTCATCCGTGGAATAAACCAGCGCATGATGAACTTAAAACATGATGCATTAAGCAGTCATTCTTCAAGACCTTTAAAACCAAGAGAAGAATCAATTCTAATTCCAGTGCAATAATGCTGAAACAAGTGTAATTTGTTTTCTCTGTTTTGTTTCTGTCAATACTTTGCAGCATTCTGAACATGTAATGTAAAAGCTAATCTCCCTGTATATGTATATATTAATATCTCTTTGTTTCAGCTGCTGCTAATGCATTCCTGAGCTTGAGAGTTTGAAAAGCAAAGCAGTTAGAGAAGTTATCATTTGAATATTGATGTCAAGAAAACCTCTGTTTTTGTCAGGTTTGAATTTTTTTGAAAGCTAACACTCCCCTTTTTGCCCTCAGGGCATTGTATAGCACTGGGAATTACAACACACTCTCAGCTCTGAGTTTTGTGATGAATAAAAGAAAACATTTTCAGAGGCAGAATTTTCTAGAAATTTGCCATTTAGGACATGCAAGGTTACTGTAGAAGTATCAACATGCAATTTCAGTCCAAAATCTTTGTAGCTTTTTAAACAGTAGGGTTAATCCTCCCATATATATTAGATACTGAACAGCATGCCATCACTATACATACATATATATATATATATATATATATATATATATATATATATATATATTATGAGGAGATAGATGAGAAAACACCATTTTAGTCTGAGGTTTTTTGAAGCACAGGGGGATTTGATCTTATCCTACTTTGGGAGATATTAGATGGTGAGGAACAAGGACGCTAAAACGTCATTCCTTTATATTGTTTAGACTGTTACTGTATGTCTTATAGAGTATATGGATGCTATTGCACCTTTGAGTGGTGTAACTACTGGCAGGGCAGGCGGGGCAATTGCACTAGTAACCGATGTGGGGCATTTCCCTTAGTGCTTCACTTATAAACTAAAACATTCTACAGCACATAGTATAATGTAAA